TCTTGGGGACAGCTTACAAGTGCAGGAAAGTCTTCTGGCTTGGTATGAAGTGCTCATGTGTAGAAAAGTAATTATATTCCTTTCCTCCCTCTCCTCCTTCCACCTTCTTCCCCTCCAACAGCTGAACAGGCTGAGTTGACTCCTGAATTGCTGCATTTTATATTCCACTATATTAAAGTGAAATTAAACGAAACTATGGTTTGCATTACTATGTTGCTGTTCACAACCTGGAGTGAGGGGCAGAAATTTTCCTAAAATTCAAAAGTAATGCAAGTAGCAGTATAAATGGAACACCAGAGGTATAAACATTCTCTGCTTCACAGCCGTGCAAACTGGGACTAGTTGTCTCAAAGTCAGCCAGGTTTCATCAGTATACTGTAGTTTCCTCAGGGTAACTGAGAAAAAGCGTGAGCCCCCCTCTCTTACAGGCAGTGTAGAGCAACGCACTTTGGTACTCAGTGTCATTACTGAATGGTCACTTTTGCATGCAGAAGGAATTCAGAGAGGAAAACAGCTAATCTGAGGTATAAGATAACATCTCTTTTTTTTTCAGGCTTATCTCTGCTTTTCGCCTGAAATGATCCCTTTTTTAGCTTTCTGACCTTTGAACACCACTGAAAGCACCATCTGGTGACAAGGTACCTTGCGACACTTTTCTCCTGATGCTTATATTTGGGTTAATTTACACTCATCATTAAATTTATCATTATAAATGACTACTAGATCATATCAACTGTATCACTGAAACTACCTAAAAGTCTTATGGTTTGCAGAGGATGGAAAAAAACTCTGTTGAGCCTTAACTACAGCTATTAAAGTTAAAAAGTTGAAGTTAAGATAGCATGCAGTTTATCAGGCAGAGGATATCTCCACTCTATCAGTGAAAAGAGAAGCGAAAAAAAATATGTAACTGATTTATTGAGTTTGTTTTGTAAGATTGATTTTTATCTGATAAAGGAGTTTCAAGGACGTGTATGTAGAGCCAGCACAGGGATTTCAATTACGCTCACCCATACCTTTAAAAGTAATTATTGTCAGAGTTAAATTCTCTCATCTGTTGCATTTTGACTGAAATGCCCTTAAAAATTAAGTGTTGTGCTAAGAAATGGAAACAGCCAGCCACTAGATGGCATTTTCAGTCTAGCTTTTACAGCTGTGCAATTGCAGATGCTGCCCTGAATATAAGGCCTCAAGTTCTCTCAGTCATGCCAACTGTGATCCTTTTACAAGTTAAGCCAAGTCTTGCTGGAGTAGTTAAGATTCAACTGCTATTTTTCCTTCAACATAGTTGGTAGAAGATAAGGATAGCACATGTTCTAGAATTTGAATGACCTGGATGGACAAGCTTTGCTGAGTGACGTTTGTGTGCAGAGAAAGACAGTTCAGAAGGAAACCAGAGAAAAATGAAGTTTCTGCAGATCCTCAAGGAGTACTGATGCACAGCACGGGTATTTGGCCCTATGAACCGCCTTTGAGGGCGCCGTTTGTACTAGAGGCGCTAGCTAGGATATTGTTAGGAGTTCAGACAAGCACACTGGTTTGATTCCTGTGGTCTTACAAACCACAGCACTTGGCAAATTCATGGTCATGTCTGTGTGTGCAAGCACCGAAATGTATCTCAGATCACAAGTGGAATTATTAAATCATAGAAGTTTGTGCTGTTATATTTAGTATCTTCTGAGGGTCTCAAAGCATATTATAAATATAGTACACAGTCTTTGGGTTTGATTATCCTCATCTCACGGGTAACAAGATAAAATAATGTCGGTAAAAGAAATAAAGGAGTTCTTGCTATAAGGCTCTGGAGGTAACTGTATTGCAACCAATATTTCAACAAGTCAAGAGCCTGTATAAGGAATACAATTGAATGTGGTTCCTTGTGCCCCAGAATATTATTACTAGAACTTTGCTAAATGAGAAAGAATCATTAGTGAAGCAATTCATGCTACCCCTTCTGAACAACAACTTAGATTGTTCCCCAGTCTTAAAAGACTTAAAATCACCAATCAGTTTGATTGTTGTTATTTTTGCTATGTTTTCCTGGTGGACTATATTTTCAGTTACAGGGGAAAGACGGTACAGCAAAGCTTAATCTAACTGAATACTGTACCTTTGCCATACTGGTTGCATTATGCATTGAATATACAATACAATTCACTATTTCATATAATATTTGATATTCCTTCTTACAGTTTGGTTTTATAATCTCAAAATAAATGAAGTGCACTAACTTGTAGAATGTCATTTATAGCTTTAAAACCATAGAAAAATCAAATATTTGTTCATTTTTATTGAATGACCAAGGTTTCAAGAATCAACAAAGACTATAATGGGCTTCCTTTTATATTTTGCTTTACCATGGTAAAAATAGATCGTGTTCTTTAATGCAAAAAAATACAACCCTGTAAATAAGATTATTTCTGAAGGAAGGTATAGTTCAGTTTCTCCCAGACACAGAACACCTTGGGGGATTCAGCATTTAAAGCTCTTTACAACAGCTAAGCTTTTACAATAACCTTGTGAGCTAAACATTATCCGTCTGTTGTTCATGAGTAAACCACCCTTAAAGAAGCTTAAGTAAGTACTGTGTTCAAGGTCACAGAATGGACACATTCTGTGGATAAATAAGATTTTGATTTTATTAGACTGAGTGATTATAGCTGGCGAAAAACTGGACAAAATTTTGGTATGAAGCCATCTTTACCTTCCATGAGAGTCTGAGTGAGCAGAAACCTGCGTGTACAACTGGAATGAAACACTGAAAATGCTGATCACGGACCTGCTCTGTGAACGTGTGTGCTTATACTAATGCAGCAGTACTTCAGTAGCTTGATTAAGCTATAGATGGTAAGTAATATTGGTTAAATTTTAATCAGGGAAGTATTTTAATTAACCCCTACTGAAACGGATTTGGGCTTTTTACATTTTAAACTGAGTCTTTTCATGTAGGTTTTAATTTTAACAGGGACATAAGGTTCATGACAATAATAATTTAACTCTGACTGGGCAAGATTCAAGAGCTATGAAACATGTCAGAATTTGAGTGAAAGGATTAAGCTGGATACAAACTGTTAGTCCCGAAAACTGTAATATAGACTAAAACCAGTTTTTAAACAGAGGTAGGCTTTCTAGAACTTAAAAAAAAAAGTCCAGAAACTTGGATGGCATAACTTATCTGTACTTAGATTATTGTACTATAGCATAATCAAGGTGAAAACTTCAATGAAACTGAAGGTAAACAATCAAATCATTCCTCAATCTGAAACAGATGCATCAGTTGAAGATCTCAAACAGCATTTTTGTTAATGAAAGTCCAAGAAAGACAGTTGGGAGAGGTAGGTCTATTCAAAATAAAGAATGAAGAGATGCACACTTACTTTTAAAGTCTCATTTATTTCATTTTTTAAAGAAACTAAGATACATTAAGTAGGTTTTCTGCAATATCAGTTTGCATTACTAGCAAATTTACATTCATAATAGCTAAAAACATTGCATTTTGTAATGATTTTCTGTTTCCTTTAGCATCTGCTGTAGAAGAATCTCTCATCTAAAACAATGCTGGATTAGCCCTCACAACATCCCTGTGAGGTAGGTCAGTGTTACCCTCGTTTTGTATATGAGGAAACTGAGGAACAGAAAGTTTTAGGTCAGTGTACCAGGAGAACCATAGAAGAGTTAGGTCTAGAATTCTCATCTTCCAGTCCTTGTCCTTCGCTTCATGTTAGTGTCTTTCTCCCTTTCTGAAAACGGAGAACAGCCCAGAGTAGCTGCTCTTCTCCTCCCCCACCCCGACTTTCCTTTACATTGTACATCTTTGATGATTTCTCCATTTAAGCTGATGGAGAACATCAGCATATAAACATCAGCAATTTCTATCTGAACTATACAGATGAAGTAGAACATTCGAAGCCCAGAATTAAAGTACCTGAAAACAGGCTGCGGGTAGTTACAGATAACAGCACTGTACCTAGTACCGGAGACACAGGTCTGCATCCTGTCACTAAGCTGCAGTAAACTGACACGCGGCTTTTCTACAGCGACTGTCTTCTGAAGGGGTGAAGGGACCCAGGACAGAGGAAACCCTGTACCTGCAGGGAGCATCCCTGGCAGACTGACACTGCGAGGGGGTGGTGTGCGCAGCGATGCGCGTTCAGTGCGGTCAAGTCTACCCACATTAGGTCCCTAAAGTAAACAGCATCAGCTTATAGGGCAGACAATGAAGGAGGTCGTATTGCAGAGCAAATCACTTAGTTAATTGAGGTAGAATTTGAGCAATTGAGAACCACAAAACACATACCTGAATTGCTATAGAAGTGCTTTTGAACACAACTGACAAGGGCATTATAGTTACGGATGCTGCGTGGGCTAAGGGAACAAGTGTCTACACAACACTGTGCAATCAAATGGCCTGCTTTAAACACAGCATTTACATTGTTAGTTTAAATTAGTTATAAATAGCATCTTAGAAGAGTAACTTTAAAATATAGAAGTAGCTTTCATACCAGTGCCTGCTTGAGGAGAGTAAAGAACTTTTTTCTAGTGCTACTCACGTGCATTGTCTATGTCAACAGGCAGCAAGAACACAGTGAAAGCAATCTTTAAATCAGACAAGGGATCAGTAAGGAAAATTTAAGTCCAGTTTGTCCAAAATTCTTGACTACCGTTTCAACATGTATTAAATGGGACAATTAGAAGTTGTGGCCATCAGTACTAGTAGATCACTACATAGTTTCCCATTTTATATTAGGTGGGATTTTATTTTCATCTTAATTCTTAGAGTTTCAGGTCTTGAAGAACACTCTCATTTACTCAACTATCCCTTATATTAAAAAGTGCTAGTTAAAAAGATCCCATTTCTTAACAGAATAAGCAATTCAAATGGAATATAAAATCAGAAGATTGTCCCCATCCGAGTAGAACGTTGATGGAAATGGCTATCTTGTGTGTTCCATAAGTGATCTGAAGACCAGAGTTTTTGTTTATAGTATCTCAGATGTGGAAGCTCTTGGATATCTCAGGGCCATTATCAGTTTTCTTCAGGCCTTGAAGGAAGCTCGAACTACTCTCCCCTTAAGAGGCTGAGGGGGGCGAAAATTATTCACCATTTGGATCCTCTGGTCTTCCTCACTGGTGAAGAGAAGCATGCGGAATTTCTCCAGCTGTAAATTCAGGTGAAATAATTACCACTTAAGAGGCCAATCAATATTAATGTTTTTTGAAAAGGATCAAAGGAAACTATTTGGTACATTTTATTCTGTTAATAGGTTGGGTTCAAGCCGAGATCGTAGAGAGCTTTAACAGAAAAAACAGCAGTGCTGATTATTGAACAGGCTGATTATGCACAGGCCAATGGTCTTTTAACATAGCCCCACTGCAAATCAACACAGTCACTGCCTGTTTATCCAGGGTTGAATCCTACAAGAACTGGGAGAGTATCCAAAGTTTACCTGTTTCTCAGAAATTCTGATGGGTTCTTTCAGCACTATCCATGTTACACTCTCGTTAAGGGGCGGTGTTGTCAGAGAACCGAGGTATGTCCAGTAATCCAGACTCAAAGGCAGGAGACATTTGGGGTTGAAGCTTCTAAATGGAGCTTTTGTTCCCTGGGGGAAGAAAAAATTGATACTTGAAATTGATCTTTTTGGTTTTAAGTGCGGGTTAAAGATCTCTCTTTGAATCAGAAAAAAAAAAAAAAAAAAAGCTGAAGTAATACTAAAAAGTAGGGGAAAGGGAAAGTCTACAAAGGTTTGGCTGCCTAATAACACCCGTTATCCCAGAGTAGCCTGGCAGCCTGCGGACCTTCCATCACTCTGCTGAGCGGTAACTATTTCTTTCCAGCAAGTGGAAGAAATCACTTAAATATCAAAGTATCATTTAGCGTCTGCAGCCTACATAGTGCTGTGTAACTGCCTTCATTTCCTCTCCTTCACATGCATATACAGAGGAGTGAGAATTAATAAGCCCACTCAAGCATTAGATATAGTTTATTTTGCATATTGGAACTTGTGTATATTATAGAATGCATTAACCTCATGTAAATCCAGAGAGGGTAACATTTGTAGTGGTCTAATCAGTCTGCACTTGAGAAAATGCAGCAGGTGTCAGTCTTCAGCAAAGCTCTCAGACACATCTGGTTAAAGACCACGTTCAGGTACCACTGTAAGAACAGACTAGCTCCGGGTCTCATTAAATTGTCCCTTGGCAGAGCTTTGCAGCAGAAGATAGGCAGCCAGCTTTGACTTGTTTGAGGCTAGGTGTAGTGGAAGAGGATTATTTTGCTGAGTGCAAGAGCCAGAAGGGTCATGGAGCTTTTGATCTTAGATATTCCGGGAAAGGCAGAACCTCTGGATGACCAGTGGTGTCAGCCTTGGGAAGCACCTGCGGTTAGGTAAATCAGCTGAACTTGGGAGGGGAAGGGGAGACTACAGCTATGATGTTCTAACCGTGGGAGGATTTGTGGGGGGTGACTTTCCATTTTTGCCTCAAACGTGTACATGAGCTTGATTTTTAAAGGATATCCCAGAAACAATTAAATTTAAAGAGCTTAAGACTTACTTTAAATTTTACCATGTACAAAGCATCAGTGAGTCTGTTCATTTTGGCATGTTCTTTCCCAATCTAAAGGAATGGAATAGACAGGTTAAATAAAAATTACTATAATTATGCTGTGAATAGGTGTTGTTTTCTTATCCGAGTCTCCACATTCCTACTAAGGTAAGTTTAACAGCAATTTGCAATGAGTTACTGCTTCGAATAAGTCATCTGTTTTCCTTAAGCACTTCTTAAATACGTGGCTTGGTTCTCAAACACTTGACAGCATAATGCTTTTCATCATGTAAACATGCTATTTTTGTGATTCTTACCTCCAAGAAAACACCAACTACTGCCAAGCCATCTGGAGCTGCTGCTGCTTCTCCAAATGTTGCGTATTTTCTGGCATTCCAGTGAACTAAATGGAGCTTTAAAGAAAAATAAGAATTAAACAAATTAGCAATAGAAGCTATGATCATAGAATGGTTTAGGTTGAAAGGGACCTTAAAGATAATCTAGTTCGAACCCCCCTGCCCTGGGCAGTCACATTAACGGGCACTAATGGTTGTTCATAACAGAATGTAGGTTTTGCTCCAAAGACATGTTTGGAAAGGTGAGCAAGTTCAATGTTTGGACCAGTTGATAAGCATGGGCAGACACTAAACAGAGTTTCTATGTAGCAGCCTTGGTTTGAAACAACTCAGGTGTTAACCTGTGACCCAGCTTCCCTGGTATGGGCCTTCACCCCATGAAGCCCTGTGCTCCAGCACTCGCTGGTAGACCACGGGCTGCTGCGCTACTGTAGTATTTGGGATAGAGTGTGCTGGGAAGGGGCTGTGCTTTGTCTGAGCTTTGCAGAACTCCCTCTTGAGCCCTCAGATGCAGCCAATTCTAAGCTATAGATACCACCAGCACAGTCCTTTCACAGGTTGTGATCATCAGCTGAAGCCCAGGCTAACTGTGCCAGGCAATGGAGCTGGACGTGGCTCCTCAGCATCGTGTTTGTCAGTATAGCCTTCCCGTCCGTGCAAGTACAGAGGATGCAATCAATGGTGTGCAGCAGACTCGACTGCGCAGCAAAGGACCGTTACGAGGTGCTGTGTGAGCAGCTAGCTGTGTCCTGCTGACTAGTATGAGATGACAGGGTCTTGGAGAAAGGGCTGCACCGGGGGGATAAGTTTGCATTCTAAAAAGCAGGGTGATCAACAGATAACTTCAGTGTAAGGAATAAAATTCTCATTAAAGTCTGCGTTGCCCTAACCATGGTAAGGAAGCAATCAGAATCCTAAAGAACATGCAGTCCCTGGTGCAGACAAAGCCGTTTGTCAATGGCATTTGCATGAATTAATCCCATCTGTAAAAACACATCATTACCTCACATGGAAAAGGTTTGCCATCAATTGTATGCTCTGATCCCTGGCTGTGCTTTGTCCCCCAGTGAAAGTGAAACTGCTTTAGCCGAAAGGGATTCTCAAAGGGACCTCCGCTGATTGCTGGGCAGGGGGAGAAAAAAAAAAAAAAAAAAAAAAAAAGAGGAAAAACCTTAAGCATTCTGGCTTTTTAGCTTCCTGTTAGTAAAAAATAACCACTGTTGGCACAGTAGTCGAAAACAAGCCAGCAGCATCTCCCATTTGCCAGTATCAAAGATATGCATCATCCAGACATTTAGAAGGGTTTGATTTCTTAATGGAAAGCACCTGAATTCCTGTAAAAATTTAAATTAAAAACATTGAATGACTACTTACACAGAATTTTTGTAGCTTTTCTGAATGAGTATATTTGACATATGAAGATACGGTAGCTTTGTTATGGTTATGCCTTTCTTGTTAAAACACAATAAATACAAGTTGAATATTAAAAAAAAATAAATCACAATATGAAACTCATATACCTAAAACGTTTTTGACAGCGCTACTTGAGAGTTTGTGCAGAAGAGCATAGATACCTTGAGCATCAGGTAGACAATTCAGATAAGCATTTCCTCTTTAGAGCGTCTTTCCTTCGTGTGGTTATCTATATTCTGTTTCCTTTAAATACCTGATCCCCTAGAAGAGGTAATATAATAGCTTGTACTTCACATGACACCATTCAGAATCTCAAATCACCTTATAAAGGTGAGGAAATGCCACAGAGAAACTTCATACATCATTTAGAAATAACACTTAAGAACAGATTAATGTTTAAGATGCCACCTATAGAAGATACTTTATCAACAGTATCGGTAATCCTCCTGTAATTTTATAGGCACTAAATCAAATAAATTTTGCCCAAAAGACATGAAAACCTGATCAAAGTCTTACATTAGGAAAATTAAAATTACATTTAGTAACTGTAAAACACTTATCCTCAGTATAGTCCATAACATTTTCTTAAAAATCATTAAAGCTGTGGCTTGCACAGTGCTACCACACGTGCATAGTTCCAGCTGGCCTTCATGCAAGCAACTGGCCTTACCAAAGCAAAGGTTTCAGTATTAATTAAGAATATAAGTACCTCCTAGTATGTTTTCTCGAAGTTCGCAATGGAATGCATCACCTGTCTCAAACACTATTTTGAGAAATCTAGCTCTGATGGGTTACTGTCAAAATTCTGTTGTGCCATTTATGCAGAGCTGTGAGTCACTAGATCTATTTCAACACAACTAAAAACACTTTAAACCACGTTTTCCACTCCTAACAGCATTCTTCCTTGGAAGTGTTATTAACACAAGGCATGTGCTTCGTGTAGAAAGGGCAGAGGTTGTCATTCCTGCATGCGCTCTGAGTCTGTATCTCTAGATGCAGAGTAATAGATGGTGTTCTTAAATTTCTGAAGCTGGATAAAGTTCACTGTTCCACATATGTAGTTCAGCTTAGAATGACACAAAAGTAGTTAGCAAGCTAAGATAATGCATCCCGATATATTTTACAAATTCTCTTTGTGAAGTGACATGCTTAATGGATCTGTGTAGCATGATTTTGGAAAATGCACATCCAGTCTTCTCTTCAAATTCAGTGAAGATGCTTGAAAACTTGACCATTCAGTCGGGCAGTTTCTTAGATTCATTCTTTGAGAGAAGTTTTAAAACAAAACGGCCGGAACTTTAACCCCCAGCCCTTATTTCAAAGGGTTACCAGCGCAGACAGAAACAGTAACTTGTTTTGAGTAGCGAGGGTACCCTATTTAGCTAGAATCAATAAACACACCCAAATGGAAGATGAAATCAGCTGACTGACAGGTTTAAAAAAAAGTTACTTAGTTGGTTTTTTTCTTTTTCAATGCACTCTTTCAATTTATCAGCTACTTCATCATCTCCATTTGAATGCTCTTCCCCAACCCCCCAGATGTAAGAGCATAGTCTACCATGAAAGTAGAATTAACAGAAGTAATCAATCACTTAAAGCATTTCTGCTCTGTGCCAAGAGCTAAGAGACAAGAATAATATACAACTGCAGAGAGTCCAACATCCACAAGCTGCTACCAACTCACAATTGCCCGAAGATTTTATAATTTCTGAAGAAACTGAACTGCTATGAGGCAGTGGGGGAAAGAAGTAAGCAATGGAAAGTGACAGGTAGTGACTGGCTGGTCCAGATAGTAGCGGGGTAATGGACTGTGATTGTGACAACGATGCTGCATGACCTGATCTCTGGTAGTCCTCTTCTCTTCCCTGCCCCCGTGGGTGGAAGCAGGGCAGTGAGCCACACAGAGCTGGCACTGTGTTAGCACCTTTGAGTTGGATGATCGCAGAAATAGGGCAGTGAGGAGTGTGCGTACCTATTCCATGTGCTGATGTGGTCAAGGAGTGCTGAAGGGACGTATGGATTCCCTATCTAGCACACTGACAATCCCTATTTCAAAGGGAAGCGCTGCAAACAAACTCCCGATTCTCCTGATGCAAGAGCTTTCCCTGAGGCAGAAAGAGAGTTCTGCTGGGCAGTATTGCATTGCATCGCTAGAGACACTCAAGTGAAGACAAGAAATGTGAGGCTCAAGAAGACAAAACAGAAAGGGTTCTGGTGATATGCCTTGTTCTAAACTTATACATCATATAAGATATGCTATACAGGATGTACTTCATTGTTTCCCTCACAAAGTCAGAGAATGGTATTCCGAGTCAGTTGGCTGTGTGTCAGTCTCACCTGTCTTGTCATCAGCATCTTCAAACTCAACCATAACTGAATGGCCATTGTTGGAGATGTTGAGAGATGCACATGATTCATAGGAGATAATAAGCGGCTTCAGGTTAGGGTCATAAACTGCTCTTGCAGAAACTATATCAATAGGTGACTGGCGGTTCCCTTGGGCAATAGGAAAAGATTTGTGCCACTCTGAAGGTCCTTCAAAAGGAAAGAAAGGAAAGCACCATTATTTTCTTCCTACTACGCACAAAATAATCATTACATGTTCTCATGAGGCTTGAAGCAAAGCTTGCTGAGCAGGAGTGACTCGAAAGTTTGGTATCCGAGAACTTCGCTTAAATTCTAAGCTGGTGTGTTTTTATTAGCACAAACAGGCTGCAACAAGATGGGGGGATTCAAGTATCTTGTACAAAACACCCGGAGGAAATCACAGCGCATCAACAGATCACTGTATCTTCAGTTATTTGCACTGCTAATTTTCTGGGGAGTTTGTAATTACATTGCTAAGGTCTCTGGAGACCTTCCAAGGCAGGTGCAGGTGTAAACACACTTGCATGCACACCTACACTCTCCCAAAGAGACAGCATTTAATTCTTACTGGGAAAAATAGTGTAAAAGCTCCAGTGATTCACATTAGATGCAGATGACTCAATCTCTTAGCTACTGACTATGCAGTTATTTTTAAAACCATTTTATGACTGCAGTAAATCTTTGAGGCAGCTTCCTTCTTCACTCCCGCCCGTTGTGGTATCTCTTCACCCTGAGTGAAGGGTACAGTGTGATAATTAACATTTTTGGACTTCCTGACCCCAATAGAGTGGGCAGCAAGACCCATTTAATAACACAGTTTGCTGCCACCAGAGCTGGAATACTCGTACACTGTTTGAGATAACAAAACCTTATCTGTATCAGAGAATTACTTATTCTTAGCACTTCTTTTTCTACTTTGGTATCGTAGTGCAAGAAGCAATTAAATTCTTCTCCTGCTTATGCTCAGAAAGTATCAACAGTAACAGTTTTACTTTAAGATTCCCCAAGAAGCACATTTTTGATTAGAGTATTCTCACATACTTTCACAAGCAGAAACTTTAAAATCAAGCACAGGTATTAACCCTCCTTGAGTTTATGTAACAAAAACAGTGATCTGTTATACCCTTACTTGTCTTTGGCATTTTCTGAAGAGCTAAGCTTATAAAATAATATCTTTTCTCAGCCTGTCTATAAAGCAGATTTAGGGTTTAAATGCCGTTACACAAGCTTCGGCAATATAATTTGTCTCTTAGCAGCTCTGTAAGAACACACATGGCTTTATTCCTACTACCTATATGCCCAAATGTGTAACACTATCTACTAGCACCAACCAACTCCACTTGGCATTCAAACTTCCTTTTGGACTCACAGCAACTAAAATAATTGCTGTTAAGAGAGAGAGAGACTCCTGAAGGTTATGCAGAACACTTGTTGGACACTCAGCAGCTAAAATAATTGCTGTCAAGAGAGACTCCTGAAGGTTATGCAAAAGATTGTCTTCTTGGACACTGCCAGTCTCTCATCCACCCCGCTCTGTGAAGGATACGGGTGCTACAAAACACTCTTGTAGGAATCTTTCAGTATCTTCACATACCCTCTCACTCTGTGACACACGTTCTTGGAGGTGGGAAGCAAAGGAGGATGACTAAATTAAAAACTGTCAAACCAGAAAGCAGAAATTGTTCTGTAAGAGATCTCTGATACTGATCTGTACAATTTATTGATGTTCTAGAAACATAAAAATATATACCTTATTTTATTCATTTCTATAGAAGTCTAGATATCACATTTCAACAGCTGCACAGGATCAGAAGACCTATTACTGCTCTACTAAATCTTCTTTACTTAAAAGAATTGCTTTTGGAGAGACAGACACAGTTAATCCTTTTCATAACAGCTTTTTGGAAAGGGATCCATCTGTAATATCTGCAGCCTGAAAAAAAACAACCACTCATTACTGCTTCCCTCAGTTTTGGAACATCGATTGCAGCAGCGAAAGGCAGCAGGCATAAGTTCGTGCATCTTTTACTGCCACTTTCTGGGTGCTATTTATTATCAATAAAGTAATTAATTACCTGCTGTATACACTTGATGCTTGCAGACATGGAAATGCAGGCAGCTCTGCAGGGCTCAGGCAACAGTTCTAGAAAGAAAAAACGAGTGGTGGGGGGGAAGCTAGAGAGATGCAGCCTGGAAGCACCGACACCTACCGTCATCCCGGCCGTAGCCCCAGCTGTGCCGGCCGCTCATCCCCGGAGCCGCGCCGGGAGCTGCGCCCCGGCCCCGCCC